TCTCTCTCTCTCTCTCTCTCTCTCTCTCTCTCTCTCTCTCTCTCTCTCTCTCTCTCTCTCTCTCTCTCTCTCTCTCTCTCTCTCTCTCGCTCAATACATATATATATCTATATATATATATATCTTTACAAAAGATGACGAAAATGTTAACTCTCAGCCTTTTATGCGATGGAGAGATAGATTCCTATTTGTAGCAGAAGCAATTTATAAATCTCAAGCAGAAACTGGAGAAATTAAAGGTCACTATTTAAATGCTACTGCAGGAACTTGTGAAGAAATGCTTAAGAGAGCACAATGTGCAAGAGAAGTAGGTATGCCGCACAAAAATGTGGACCGTTTGTGTGTGTCACGCTTGCGCAGGGGCCATGCTAATATTCTCTGTATCGTTCCAAAATTTTTAAGGGATGTCCCAAAGGACAGGCTGCGATAGTTACTGCAACGTTTACATGGGAATAATCCGAGCAAGTGGAAAAAATCTTGAAGCCGGGCGCATGGCGGCATGGGTTCTGCTTAGGAAAGAGGGGGAGAAGCTTCTGAAGAGGATGAATGCTTTGAGCAGTGGGGCTCATGCATGACCCTTATAAACAATAAGGGTTTTATGAAATTATAAAGGTTAACGTTAACAACAAGAGAACCCCACTGTTACCCCAGGAGCCATTGCAAGCAGCCTAGCTAGACTGCCAGCGAGGAGAAGTATTTGGCATGTCTGAATGGGAAAGGGAATGCGGCAACCCGCTTCCGCTTCCTCCTCTTCTTCCTCTTCTTGTTCTTCTTCTTCTTCTTCTTCTTCGGAGCCCTTTTGAATGCTGAGTCTTCCTGATAACCCTGATGATGGGGTCTATTAAGGTCAGCAACAAGGTAATCCTGAGCAATGTGCTCAAGGAGTGCCAACTGGAAGAGGCGTCGGAGGCATTTGCATCATCCAGGGCAGGAATCAAGGGGGGTAAAACTGGGAAGCTACCTCCCGTTCAAGGGCAGAAAGAGGAAGATGGCACGGGGGTTGGGGGGGTTGGTGCATTGCTGCCTGGCCCTGGCTCGGCTACGGATGCGACAAGTTTTCCGGGGTCGCCATCTGCAGTAACCTCGCAGGCGATGCATGATCGACAGAGGGCGGAGAGGGTAGAGGCACAGAGGCAGTTGCTTAGAAAGAAGCATGAGGAAGAATTTGAGAACGTCCAACGCGAGGTTAAGCGAAGGCTGGAGGCAAAGAAGGTTCGACGGGATGCAGAATTTGGGATGATGATGGCGGAGATCTTGAGCGGAATGCGAGACGATGGGACGGGGTTCGTCCAGAGCATGCGGGCGCTTGTCGAATCGGCAGATAAGAGAGAGGCAAGGCGAAGGAAATCTGTTCACGCGAGCTGGCAAAAGGATGTGTTCGACTACATCCAGAACCAGGTGGAAAAGAAGCTGCAGAGAATAACTCGCAACGGACTTAAGGATCGGCATCGTATGATTTACGGGAAGTTCCTCAAGGCAATAAAGGAACGGACTGCGATCTTCCGGGACATTGTAGCAAAGGACATTTATGACCCATTTGAAAGCCATCAGTACATCATCCGATACTCTACCAAAGGTGTTAAGGACCCCACATTGTCAGCTGTGGCACGGCGGATACAAGAACTGCAGCAGCTAGGGGTGAAGGCGACAATGCCCCCTGCCCACACCCGCTACACCTTGGATCCTACAAAATGGTCTGGACCTGTCATCCAGAGCTCAGCCATAGGACACATGAACGCAGATGACGGGTCAGTTATCAACGTGTCCAAAGGGAACCCTCTCAGGTACAAGTCCTTGATTCGCCCACTCCTTGACCACTATAAAATCTCACCACCTGATAAATACCGCCCACAAAAGAGGATGTTCGCAATCCGAAGAGGCCATGTCGCACGCCCAAGGGGAATCAGGATTATCAATGACATGGAAAGGTGATGAGGCTCTCATCGTCAGTGTGGCAGAAAGTTTAAGATCTCCGATACTCTCTAGCATCGTAGTCCAGATCTTATGTTATCCTATCACCTTCCTACCTTCCTTCCTTCCTTCCTTCCTTCCTTCCTTCCTGCTGGCATGCCTTCCTGCCTCCCTCCCTCCCTCCCTCCCTCCCTCCCTCCCTCCCTCC